TCTAGTAATTTTTTTCACAGAAATCCCCAGAATCCCTCCGATTGAAAAAATTGTTTTGGGTAATTTAATATCCGATGGGTGAAAATGAGGGACTGGTTCTTCAACGTTGAGAGTTTGTTTTCCGAATGTGAAGACTGGAATATGTTGCACGTGGTCCCACGGGAGCCTGACGGCGGCAACTTCTGGGACCGCCACTAAATATTGTGTTCGCGCAGAGAATACAGCCCTTGGACACGTGTAAGCGGCCCGCGGGATTCCGTATGAAGGCAGATCGGGCCCGACGATTATACGCTAATTCAACGCAAATTCCTTCGCGGAGATATCTGTATCGCTTGCATACATCAGGAGGTACGCCGGAGCTACCTATCCCATGCCGACACTAACGTTTTCTCTCGGTAGCAATTCGCCTCTATGTGGCCCCGAAAGTTTAATCAGTTAAGAAGATTTCACAATGTGAAAGGGAAACCTCTTCGCTGCTAAAAAAATTTTCATTTGGAAAATCCCTTTCAAAAAAAGTTCAATCTAACGTTTTTTGAAGTCGGTTTATTCGATATATATATATATATATATATATAATATATATGTAATATTTTATGTTTCTATGTAAATGTATATTATTATATATTATTATATATTTATATATATTTATTTTATTTTTATTCTAAAATTGAGAAAGATTTTCATTTTGTTTTTTAATGAAAGAAATATTGCAATTTTGCAATCGAAAATTGTGGACGAATGATTTATTTGTTGTTATTGATGATTATTGATCGTGGAATTTGAGGGATTCGTTTAGTTTCTGGTTGTTCATCGCTGATGAAACTCTTGGGTTCTATTTATCTCCAGAGGGACAAAGGCATTTTGCGAGGTGTTGACCATCGGAATTTCTTCAGGGCTTCTGCTTGGTCCACCGCCCCGCAAACGCGAAAAGGTACGATGCGTGAATAAAAAAAAAGGGAAAAAAAAAAGTCAAGAGAAAGATATATATCACGAGTGTCAGGGTAGTACTACGACATGCCATTCTTCCATCCTGAATACCACTGCTAACGCGCATTCCCAAATTAAGGAAAAACTGAAGTCCACGGGATGTCTGTCCTTCATAAACCTTGATTAGTGCCTGAGCTAGACGATGGGGTCCATGTCTGCAGGAGAGTCTAATTAAACACGAAAAAGAAAGCGTAATGAAATAGAGAAATCCATCTTGTTTAAAGAAAAAATCCAAAAATCTAGTAAAAAAAACGAGCGCACGAAGAAACGCGAACATTTTCAATAGAGACAAACATGTGAAAAAAAAAATTCCAATGAGATGACAAAAGTGTTGATTTAATTTTCCAACGCAGATCGAGTATCTTCGCTCGTTAATTCACTTGATGAATATAAAACATCGTAATACCTGGTGTACGAAAGTACGGGTAGGAGAAATAGAGTTCATATGTACCAAGCCAACGCACACGTTTGTCTCTCGTCATTAGGTACGTCTACTTCGTTAGGATGAGTTTTTCCCCTATGCCGCTAATGAGCCTTCACCGGCAAGTAGTCACCCATGGTTTTCAGTGTGATAGAATGAGAAGCTCACGGTAAAAAGAGATGATAAAGTCACTGGGATAAAACTGGCTTTCTACCCTTTCTAGTCCCCGCTCTTTTCGTACAATATGTTTCATCCACTGAACTTTAAATTCTCATTTGCGAGTGTCCAGACACTATTTACCCCAAAATTTCTCTCAATATCACAAGCTATCAACCAAAAATTCATTATTTCAAATTAATGCATTGATATAATTCTTTGTTTTTCATTTATTTATCCATTTTTTATCATCACAATTGATTCAATTCATTAGAATTAAATAAAAAATTCCATGTTTAAGATTTAAACAAAAATGAAGAAAGAATATTACATTCTGCTTTTAGAAGAGTATATTTATTATTAATATCTTTGTTTTTCCCGCGAATCACTCCCCTTTTTATATATTCTCGTGGGTAAAAAATCCACAAAACAATTGAAAGTATTAACCCGAGTGCAGTACGTAGTAGCAATTCATTCAGCCGTCCGAGTTAACGTGGCACCTCGTTTAATTCGCCGAGTATTTCCTGCAGGGTCGACTTATTCTCAAAATACTGGCGACACAGGGGCACACATCGAGTAACAGCTGTTCGTGTCTCGTCTCTGAATCCTCGGTTGACTTATTCGTTCATGTTCTCCTTCCTTCCCCGAATTTAATTCACTCTGCATTTGTTTCAATTTTTTTAAACATTTTTCTTTTTGTTTACAGACTGCACTTCACTGGGGAGCCAAGCACGGGGATGAAAACATTGTTAAACTCATCGCTGGAACTTACAAGGAGTACATCAAAAGCGTCAATGACACAACGGTTCGTTTTTTAAATAATCTTTCAATTATTAAAAATTAATAACTGAATTGTTTACCAATTTTTTCTCGTCGTGTGGAGATTATCATTTCGTTGAGTAAAAAAATTGACTGTCTTCTCTAAAATCAGATAAATTCCAGATTTTGAAATATTTCAAGGTTTTTTATTGATTCAATTTAATTTCATCCCAATTTTCTATAGTAGTGAAATAAAAAATAATTTCCATGATCTTTCAAGTAATGAGAATTTTTTTGTTTCCTGTTCTCGGTGACTGACAGAACGGGGTAAGTTGCACCAATATTTCGACATCAGTTGAGACAAAAGGGAGTATAGCTCAGTGCAGTGGCACTGTGGACGGGAAAGAGGAAGGCGAAGACGGCAGATAGGATCGGATGCGTGTGGTCCGCCGCTTTACTCTTTATAAGACTTATATAAGCCAAAGCGCACAGAGAAAGAGAAGGATGCACACTGTGTGCTCGTTAGCGGCTTGCGACAAACATTGAAATTGCCAATGGGTTCACTATGGGCTTGCCCGCCCCCTAAAAACCCATCGACACCAAAAGTAAATCCGGAAATCTAAAAAAAAAAAAAAATCTCACTTCTCAAAAAAATTACAATTCCCCTGCGCTATTCTCCGACTAAATTTTTCGTTCATCTCCCCGAATTTTCTAATTAGAGATTATTGAAATTTAGAGAATTTTTTATTTTTTAATATTCAAGAAATTAAATGGAATTAATTACAAAAATTTTTATTGAAAAATTCAAAGTTCTATGAGTTTGGAATTCAAATTAGCCGCCTCGGGCGATTGAGCCAATGAGGAATAAGCGCGACAGTTTCGAGATATCGATAGTCTCGATGTTTGTCCTTTTTAGACTAGGAGGATACCAGAGGATGAATTTTTCCCGCGCACGTGTAAGAGAGTACCGAATTAAAATCCCGCAGGGTAAACTCCGGGACAGGGATTTGTCAGGGAGTTGTCCAGCCCGTAGTTAGGGATCTGTCCTTCGGAGTGAGGGTCGGCTCATTTGTTTGAATGGTGTAAGCCCTGAGACCTGGCTGTCGTCACCACGCCACCTCCGTCGCTCGTCTCCTGGTCGACCCCCCAAAAGATAGAGACCGGAGTGCACCAACTCCTCGCACCCACGTCATCCACATGTAAATCGCTAATTCCACTCAGAGACATTAATTATCTCGTTACACCAGGGTCCCCACCCAATAGCTCAAGACCCCGTGTGCGCATAACCGACAAACTGCAAGCGAAAATGTATAACGACGCGGTATGAAGAGGAGGAACGGGATTAAGACGGAGAGTAACTTGGGGGAGAGTCTTGGAAACGAACCGAAGAAAAAGGAGTCGCATTCCATGTACCCAATTATCGGAAGAAAGCTCTCCCTTCCTTCGCTTACGCGTTTACCTCAATTGTTTCTCTTTCTTTTTTTTATTTTCTCCTTTTACTCGGAGACGATGCACTGGGTTCATTTGGCCTTTCTTGCTCTCAACCCCAAATCCCTCCATCCCGACTTTCAAATGGCCAACGATTATTATCTCAATGTGATCTGTATAACGAATAATGTTGTTCCTCGGTGACAGAAAAAAGAAATTTATTGAAGACATTTTTATTAATCTCTGCGACCCGCAGGTTCCGTCGTTGATGGGCCACTTTATGGGGGCAGTTGAATTTTCAGGATCCCGGGGCCTTAATCTGTCACCGATATACACGGAGTACTCCACTGGCTTATCGGGTACAGCATCGACTCCTGTTTAATCCTTTTTCGGGGGGGATGGAGGGGAATGAAAAATAAACAATGAGGGGTAAAAAATACTTGGACGTCTCGCGGGAGACCCTAAGCCGCGCCCGGGTGGCGCCTCACCGAGCGACAGCCACGGCAATCCAATCTTTAATAATTAAATTATTTATAAAGAAAAATAAACAATGATCAAAAGTCTACAACTCGCGAGAAAAAATCCATTGATCCGATTTTTCCAGGATTTTAAATATGATAAGACAAATTTCCCGGAAAATCAACATTTTTTATCATAAATATATTATTTTACACGGAGAGAAATATTCAATAAAAATTACCTGTCTTTCCCGTAATTTTGGAGCTAAATGTAATTGTTGGAAATTTTACGGAACTGTCACGAAATTTTTATCTGAATTATCACTTTATCGATTTATCGAGAGTAAATATTTCTCTCCGTGTGTAATCTATTGTGAGTATGATCCTGACAATTTGAATTCAGGAGTTTTAATATATAATTCTAACCGGATGAATATCGCGCCTCATGTACGATGGAATTAAATATATAAATATATATATAAATTCATGAAATCGCCGGAATTAATCTCGAGTGGAGTGTCAATCGGGGAATTATGTTTTCTCCCTGGAAAAATTTAGATATTTCGAAAAAGGGGATAAGTTGGAAGAGTTATGATTCTCTCTCCCCGACTTTAGGACAAAAATATGTGAGGAGATATTAAAATTGAAGATCTCGGCATATAACACGTTGGATATTGGTGGCCAGCAGATGTCTTGTTTTCAAACTGTACGACGAACAGACATCCCAATCCCTTCTACGTGTGACGGATTGAAAGTAAAATGAAAAGAGTATAAAAAAATGTTGAGGGGGTGAATTGAAAATAAAAGTAGACGAGACAAAGTCGCGATATTGTCTCGGATACCGTGTTACTTTAAAATATTGTCAAAAGTATAAAAAGTTACATACACTGTTATATATTTGCCGGGGTGGAGAGCACCCAGGGTGAGGGAGACGAATGTGACTGCCTCGACACTTTGCCGGTGGCTCAAATGCACACGTGTTGCTAAAAGTAAAGGACTCCGCGAGGAGTTGAAAAAAAAGGGATGAGTTACACAGTAGGTGGAAAAAAGACTGCCTCGTATATTACACGGCTCTATAACAGTGGACTTTAAAATGGAGTGAAGGGATACGCCACGCAACCCCTACGAGGGGTGCATATTGCTATTCCGGGGGAGATTACTTTTTTCTCATTTTTATGTTGCTCTATTCCCAATTTATTGCACAATTATTGATATTATTATTTATATCGGAGACTCATGACTGCAATTGAAAATTCAATAAATTGGTTTTCGCCGAAGGGAAGAATTAGAATTTTCCGGAAAAATCTTCGATTTTTTTTAAACTTGTTGAGATGTCAGGGGTACGTCATCGGAATTTTCAATTATATAAGTTTTCATTCAATTTTAATGGAAATGAAAACGAAAATTCATAATAAACGGAAAATAGAGAATTGATGGAATAATAAAAGAAAATGAAGTCATTTGTCAATGAAGAATTTTAGGGAAAATCCACATGACTTTATCGTTATTAAAAAGTTATTCAAGTTTTTAAAAAATTAAATTGCACCAATTTGAATGATGATTATTTAGCATTTATTCCTGATGCAATTGCACCACGAAATTCAATGCTGGCGAATGCCAAACTGTTGATAATTGAGGAACAAGTGATTTGTCTGGTTGAATGGTAAAAACTTGAAAGCTCTCGGCGTTAGAAATCCTGGGAATCGATGGAGCCGGCACTGATGTCCAAGTCTCTTGGTGCGGCGATTAATTCAAAGCGCCCACATTCACGATGAAGACAATGAGAGCTGTGGACGCCACAATTACAATGAATTTGTCCGAGAGAGGGAAAAGAAACAGACAGGTTCCGCCACGATATACATTACCAATACATATGTCGTCAGTATAGCGTGTACATGCAATTACAAAACCTCGATACATAGGGAGAAATAAAAAGCAATCCCATTCCCGCGCACCTCATTTTCTCGCATTGGCTTGAATAAAAAGGACTCGCGGTATCACGCGGAAACGCTGATTTCGCACGCTCCAGGTAATATTCATAAAACGATTAAATTATTAATTCCTCATTGTCTCTCACCTCTTACGCATACAACTGAGACACAAGTCAGACACGCAGGGGACTGTAAAATGCAGACAGAAAGGGGCCGCACTTTATTTCCCTCCATCTCTTGTCTTGTATCCCTCCACTCTTGTAACTCATGGCTGTTGATTTTTTTTTATTATCATTGTTGTTATTATCTTTCTCTTATTTTCCAGGGATACACGGCACTCCACATCGCAATGCAGTTCGACCACGAGAATATTTTCAATTTACTCGTCCAGGTTTACGGTGCGTATGTGACATCTAATGCAATTATGTCTGGTACCAGTCGTTAATCATATGTGATTGCGTTAAAAATGGAAAATTGTAAATTTTATGTACCATCGGGTCGAGACTAGACGGTACGACATTGCAAGGATCATGGGTGGGGCTCTTGCTAACAGAATATTCTCAAAGTAAAATGCCGACACTGCAGTCTACTTGTCAACTATTATGACAGACACACCATAATTTATAACTATTTCAATACGATATTCAATTATTTTTTAACAGCAACAAACCGGCTATTTTCTTCAACGAGCCAAAACTAAAACAACACTTCATTCATCCAACGAAATTAGGATTTAATAATCAACTTGACAATATCATAACTCAATTTTATCAAGTCGTTCTCATGAGACCTGGTGATACCAATCAATCCTCTTGGAGTTGAACCTCTTGGAATAGACTTTACCACTTTACTACTGACTTGAAAGAGCCCAGACATTAATCACCATCATCTTCCCTTAAATGGAAAAGCAGTCATTCTATCCGGAACTCTCTAGCATTTATCAAAGAAACAAACCTATCAATTCTCGGGGACCAATCGATCTCTAATGAACATCACAATCTCATTTCCCGATGCAGGAGCCAACCAGGAGATTCGGGACCACAGTGGGAAGAAGGCCAGGCAGTATCTGGCCTCGCAGGAGGCTGCGGTCAGCCAAGATACCTTCCGAAGTGAGTATATTCATTTTTCATGGTCTCCCAAAAAAAGAATTACAATCCAACAAGATTGTGTTATGATTGAACGATAGTCTTCAAGTCAAACAGCTTTACCCACGCGGAAAAAAAATATCTATCCAGAAATATATGTCAATAATATGTCAATTATATACCCACCGGTTCAAATACTCCACAAATGCAAGATAATGCAAAATAATAACAATATTAATAATAATAGTTAATATAATTTTTGGATATATTTTTTCATGCGTATCCCTTCAAGTAGCAGTAGGTTAACGTAGAAAATCCTCAGTATTAATTGCACTGGAAAGTTCTGTGATTAAGGACCTGATTAGGGACTTAATTGAGGACTTGATTAAGGATTTGATGCTGAGAGTGTGGCACATGAATTACCATATTACACAGATGCATATGCATAGAGGAGACAACGTGAAGATTGATGAGAGGGTGTCTACTGACAATTTACCCGATTTATGTCTGGAGCTTCAATTCTCTGCGCGTTCCAGATGGCACCTTTTTTTTTTTAGTATTCAATTCCTTCTCCTATTTATCCATGTGAATGATAATGGTGTATGACGAGTGGTGAATGGGTGGGATTTATCATGTTTTACTGTAATAATTTTCAACTTTGGGCCCTTCGATTTTAATTCTTCTGTTGTAGGGATTACCGCTGCCGTATCGTTGAGGCAAGTTGAGACGCACACTGCTGTTAATTTTATTTAAGTACGCTTTAATCACAGCAAATAGCAAGAGCATCTTGAGAAGTAATGTATGACGAACCTTTTTAAAACACATGTGGTAACAACAATGGGGTATTATCCAAACACGAGTACTATTAAATCCAAACCATTGAATAACTTAATTGGTGCTTGTCTAACAAAAAGGCCAACGGGAGTATAAAAAATCCCATCAAATTATCGCTATTCCTAATTATTTTTCACTTAATGCAGCAATACTTTATTACCGTGAATGCACGTGTTCTTTTAACCCCAGGAATATCTCCCTCTTGTATATGAAAGGCGCCAAGTGCATACGAAACACATAAATACAATAAATATATTCAACAGGGGTTGCCTCGTTGCGTTTAATTATCGCATCATCGTATCAGTGTTTCGGAAAGAAATTTTTTTTTTCCTTTGCCGTGGCAACTCGGGGATCTTGAGCCCTCAACATTACTCATCAAAGAACGCGCACAGGGGCAGCAGAAAATTTACGCAGATAACGCCCTATTAATTATTAAGCCGCAAAAGTATCCCTTTTGTTGCTCGTCACGGAGGTGGCATGTGCAATTATTACAACACCGCTAAATCCTGTGGGCACGCGTTGTACGCACTGGGCTTTGAGTGATTGAGAAAAAAAAAATGGGGAAGGAGAAAAAAAAAACATTTAATGCTATTAAAAAATTCTTCCGCATCTCCTTGCACATAATGCACAGCCCTACGTCTCTCGTTTGGCATTTAATGCTCACCAACTACGGCACACGCGTGATTTATTTAACTCAGTGTGCATTTAATTGCTCCCCTTATAGCCCCCCAGGGGATGGGGCCCTCAATTCAACGTAATTAGTTCCTTATCGCTCGCATCAATTAACAGAGTCAACAGTTGATTATTTATTTATATTCTTTTTAATTCTCTTTCACTAGTTGCTCCTGGTTAGACAGCCTCTCATTGTATTCAACGATTCAACTCCCATTGGCAGTAATGACATTAATATTTATAGGTGTACGTCAAGTATCATCCAGGAATCGTCGAGATTTTTGCTTTATTATCTCATGCTTCATTAACAAATATGTGATCTTTGTTTGAAGATTGACTTTCTCTCGTTCATTGTTGAATGTGTTCCTCTTGAAAGAGAATCTAACATTAATCCGATTCGTGTGAACGTTTAATATTTTGGTCATTGAGGCTTTGTAATTATTATTGTCTTGATTTACATCTTCCAGAAATAAAAGCAAGGAAAAAGCACACCGAGAAAGATCTTGGTTTCCTACGAATTGGCTCATTGAACGTCCGCGTGAAACGTACGACGGAGGCCTTCAGCCAATTCCTGGGTGTGGCCAGTAGTGGAAATAATGAAAAGATCCATAAGAGTTGGGGATCTGCCGATAATATTCAGGTGAATATCAAATCAATTCAAGTCTACAGAAAATTAATTCAAAAAATTGAATGGAAAAGAATTCGCGAATGTGTATGGAGAATTTTTTTTTTTTGAGGAGATAGGGTGGAGATGCAGAATTCGGAGAATGAATTTTTTGTTTTTAGGAGAATAAAATGATGCCACCCCCAAAGTACGCCCCAATCAAGAAGCGAAGGAGTAGACGAGCCCAGGACTTCACCCCATCTCGTCATCAAGCTGCTAGTCAACCCAGCACACCTCTTCCCCAGGCCAAAATCGTAGACAATTCATCCAGGATGGCAAAACGGCCTTCTTCAACCACTGCTGTTTCTCCGAGTACACCAATAGCACCACGAGAACACGATTCCGATTCCGACGGAGCCTGCGGCTTCGATTCCGCCTGGCGAGGCTCTGCCCAATTGTGAATTATTTATTCCAGTATCTGAAGATATTATTACAGAGTTTTGCTAAAGAGAATCTACATTTCTTAATCTCCATTTTGAATTTCGACCGCTGATATGTAGCGACTAGATATTTAGATCAATTTTGGTTGTTGAATATTTATAATTCCATGAATTTTCTATGGTACCTTGTAGACCTCGTACTGATAATGTCCAGTTGCATTCCCAGGAATTACGGGATTATATCCTGAATTTTAATTCAGTTGCGAAGCGATAAAATAAATTTAATCTCACCGTTGATAATTTATCCGTAAATATCTCGGAATGCAGTGCCTATATCGATATTTTCGTAATAATCTTTTTTGCGGAACTCATTAAGAGTTACAAAAAATATATCTACGAAAAATTCACCATCTCCCTCATATCCGGAGATATTGACCAGAATGATAAATAATAACTCGAATAATTTTATCTCTTCAATACTGAATTGTTATCTTTCATTTTCGAACAGCGCAATCTGCCAATGAATGTAATCACTCCCCAGATTTCGTCTGATGGTACAAACGTCAAGACTTCCTGCCTTACCAACGATTAATTAATTCATCTCACAAGCAAGTGCTGCCCCTCGAGTACTAAAAAAAACTGCAGACCCCAAACATCACGGCATTTCAATAATTTTATTACTTATTTATATAATTCTCGAAGATTTATCGACGAGCAAGATATTTATGAGCACTGAATTATCAAATGGTTTTTGTAATTGAAAAGAAAAAACATTCCACTGCAAGAACTTATCGTTCAATTTTTACGAAATAAAAATTATGAGGCAAACAGCATCAGCGGTTGATTAATTTTTTTTTCTCAATGATAAAAACGTAACATCAAAATCTCAGTGGTAATCAAAATGTCGTAAAGAATTAACAACCTATGACCTCGTGTTGCTGGTGCGCAGGGCATTGGCTATAACCTGTTGAATATTTATTTTAACTTGCAGCTTCATGTTCTCCGGTACTTGCCGAAGGGAGGGCAATAGTGAGAGGAGAAACATTTTCTCGTAGTCCTCCTCATCTAGCATAGGTCTCTGGCCATTGTGGGAGGAAACGTCGGGAACGCTGTCGAAGGGCCCCAGGGACGTCTCACAGAGTGGATCAATCATATTTGAATCAGAATCCATGGGCCCATTTGATGGGTCCAGAAAGGATGCAGCTGTATGTGGACTGCATCCGTAATTTATATCTAATGAATCTCTTCCTTCCTCGCACATTACTTCTTCGGTTTTGCAGTCGCTCAAATTCTTGGCTAGTGAGGCTCTTCTGGGAAAAATAATTAATTTATCGGTGAAATTTGGTAATTTATCGAAGGATGAGACACTTACCTCTTAGCCTCGATCACTGGCAAAAGGAATGATAATTTTTTGAAGTAAGCGTAGGGCTTCCTCTTCCTGATACCCCCTTCTGCTGTTATCTTTCGCGCTTTGAGTTCTTTAGTGAAATAATCCCGGATGTGTCGCCATTTTCCTCGCAAACTTTTCTCTGCAATGTATCGGGATTTTCATTAACGTTGGAGAAAGGTTTGCTAATAATTTTGCTTCTATTCACGTATTTCGTAACTGGCTGTTTTCTTTAATCACTTATAGCTCAATGTCATGCAAATTGATTGTAAAATTCAGAATTATATTTACGCAACTTCGGGTGTCGTTAAATTCGGATAATAAAGTCGTGATTATTTCCATTACTGTCCGGGATATTGACAGAAAATTTTTAGTATCGGTAGTCCTGAATTCAAGAGAGAGAATTGAAAATAATTTGCGTCAATCACGAGGCATTTTATGCATTTCTGGTTAATAAATTCTCGTTGTATTGGAAATTGAAATCCAAAGAAAAAAAATGAATTCAAACGGTGAGGACTTTCATTTTACGTGAATTAGAAATTTATCGATGTGATTTAACGCTTTTTTGTGATGCGCTTTTCAAGTCAGTGAAGGACTTGAGACGATCATAGAATCGATATTATTTATAAATTATTTTCATAAAAGAGCCCAGGCCTAATAATTAAACGACTTGTGAAATTATATTTCAAAAAAGAAAAATAATTCCGCGTCGGGTTCTGTATTACGCAAGCGCATTACCCATGGTTTCCTTCATTTCCGAGCTCATGTTGTCCCAATCCTCAATCATGGCCTCTCCGATTTCGTTCCATGCCTTGGTTTTTGCTAATCTATCTCCATATCCGTCGTGTCTGCAGTCGTAAATTATTGGCTTCTTCTTCACCTCGGCGATGAGTTCGACGACGTCAATCAAATGCGCCGGTGAGAGTTGGATAACCCTCGAGTTCCCTCGAAATCCTTTACGCGGATACATTTTACGAAAGCTGCGGAGAACCTGGACGACGGAACAAACTCGCGCGGACTAACACAAGGCGTTATTACAGAACGGTTACACTGCGGCTGCGATGCGGAATAAGTTGCAACGTTGCCAGACCCAACCGTCGGCTCAAGCAACATTCCCACTAGCTTCTGCGTTTTTATATTCCATATTCCATATTCCTCTGACCACCTTTCCCATTATTTCTCCCAGGAGTTGGATTCTGCGATCATATGAGGTGGAAAAGTTCTTCACGGCCATGTATCGAACAATATTTTTTGTCGTGCAGTTCCAAGTCTGGAAGGCGGCAGTAAATCCCGACTTTACGGACTCAGTCACGGAATTTTTTACTCATTTATTTATCAACGAGAGCGGACGCAAATTACAGCGCGGTGTAATTATAAAAATCATGATTGAAAATTTGAAAATTAAATGAATTTCGAATGAAAACTGGTCGCTTCAGACGATTGAACCAATGAGAGATAAGCGTGATGGAGTTTCGAGATATCGATGTTATGATATGATATAGATATGATAGCCACGATGTTTGTCCTTTTTGCAATAGGACGAATAGGATGGAGAGGATTTGGTAAATTGTGGTGGTGAGAGGCGGATTGTGAGCCCTCGGCCACTCAATTATTCCACTTCCTGCGTGGCAAATTGCTTCTACTGATCCGCAAGAATACTTCGGACTCATCGTACGGATTGGGACATGTTTTTTGTATTCTCAATTGGAAGTCTAGGATTTAATGGATCGACCGAGACGGCGGGTTTTACAGCATTGCGCGGTACAAAGTTGACGGTGTTGCAGGAGCGCTGGGGCCTTTGGACCCTCGTTACGATCAATAAAATAACGCCTACGGACAGCATGCGGTCCACAACCGATGATTTTCAAATTGTGGATGTTGAAATATTAGAGTATTATGTTTGCAAGTAATAAAAAGTGTCAGGAACAATTTATTCGTCGTTAAAAAATAATCTCGAGAATATGTTCTTTTTTCGGTTACTGTCAGCAGCAAATGAAACTCAACTTTTTGTCGCGGATTTTTATAAGGCGATAAATCAACTCAATTCATTCCGCGGATTTTTCACCGGAATATTTTAAATTGACTTTTCAAATATTTTTGGAAATTCAATCTCCGCGCGATAAATTATCATTTATTCATGCCTCATATTTTTTTACTTTGATTATTTACAGCTTTTTAACGAGCTTTTTTTTTCTCCTGAATTGCAAAATGTCGGCAGTGTTAAGTCAGGGGATACAAATCCTGCGGACTCATATTGATTTCAGACATCTGCGTCAGTGCATGGCGCGGTAGTTCGAGTCCGTCAGAAAATCCCGATGGAAAAACCAAAAAAATTAATCATCATTTTTATTGATCACTCCGAGGACAACGACAAATACCGGGAGTCGTCTGACGTAATAATTTCTCCAATTTCCAAGACGCGATAAAAATCTTCAGCTTCCGGATTCATCTTGGAGTACCAGGGGTTTATCATCCCGCAGAATGTGTCCCTCGACCTATGGAGTCAAAAAAAAAATAGTGATTGGAAGGCAGTCTACCAATGGTGAATACGATCTCTGCATCTCCGTCGCTGGGAGAGCATCGACCTTGGTGGGATGATGACAGAGATGGCTTTGAAAAAATTCACGTTCAAGTGAGACATACCACTGGTTTTCAGGGGCGGAAATTCATTCCCAAGCCCAGGAGGGCGACATCCTTTCCGAATAAAATCAAAAGCGAGACTTGATTTTCAGAAAAAAAAATAAATTCCTCTCCAAACTGAAAAAGACTAACTGAAAATGAATTCAACACCTACAGGCAATTTAAAAAAATGATTACCCAATACAGATTTCCAAATATACTCATTAAATAATCATCCAAGATTTATGTCAATAAATGTAGAAATCACCTGTATTCCTCAAGTATTCATATCTCTTCTTCTCTCCCTCCTTTTCCTCAACTAAATCTATCAGAAAAAATCTGATAACAATAAAGCGACTGAACCTTTTTGGTCTAGCGATTGAAAAAAAATGTTTATAGTCTAGCACAGAGTGATTCTTTTTCGATTTCATGAGATGATTGCGCTTCGGTGGCGATTTGAATCGTCATATGAAAAATAGAATTGAGAAGTGGTTGATTAGCAAAAACCAACATTGGAGGAAGGCTGGGGTAATATTTTTTTCCGAGTGAAGCCCCTTGCACCGTGACGCTGGGTTGTGTGTGGCTCATAGGTGATCCTGTCTGTATAAACGCATACAGAGTTACAGGCAGTCTGTACTTGTGGGTTTGGTGTTGAGACTTCAGTTGCCGCCCGGCTCGAATAAAGTGAAGATCCTCGTGGTCCCCAGGCCGTCTGCACTCCATCAATTAACAACATCACCAATAATGGCGGATTTCCTCGGAAAGAAGTACAAGCTCTCGAGCAGTGAGAATTTCGATGAAATGATGAAAGCCCTCGGTACGTACCAAATAAATTTCATCACAGCAATTAATCACACTTTAATGACCTGTTGAAACAAATTGCAGTATTAATCGAGTGCAGCCACGTGGCATAGATCATAAATTCGGTTGTGATGATATTGAAAATAGAATGCACATGGGAAAATTAATAATCTAGAAATAGCCTTACACTCCCGGACATGGCAATTCGTGATGATTGATAAATTACATCCCATACGGGAAATGATACGCCAACGTCTTCGTCGCCCTCGAGGGTCCACCCACCCGGTGCATCTTTTATTTTCTCCAGTCAATCCATAATTTTTCATATCGTCTTTATACGTCACCGATTATTCATCGATTCGCAGTTTTGCGTCAAAATTGACGTGATCTGTCAATCCACCGGTGAGATAAAACACATCTTCCGGATAAATAAACTCACATAACCTACAATTTATCCTCCCCTTTGTTCGCGGATCGTTATATTTAGTGGTATAATGAAGGACGACGTTTTGCTCGTGTGTCTGAGGTGCAGACCGGTAACACGCGATCGTGCGAAAATTACCGGTTGGTGTAATATTGCACTGCTCTAACGATCGCGGTATGCGCATCGGATTACCAGAAATAATAATCGAAAAAATGCATGATCCAGTTTTACGTGTTGTCTCGTGACCTTCGGGACATTTGAATCCATTTGCGTATTTACCTGTCGGTAATTAACGATTCACTGTTTTCTTCGTCATTTTTAGAGAGTACATTGTTAAAAAATTTTTTCATTTCTGTTCATCATTGCATATTCGTTCTCAATTTTTTTATATATATAATTTTTTTATATATACAATTGTATTTATACCTGAACAAATTAATTATTGATTCTTAGTAAGAAAATGGAGAGAAAATTGATTATTGAAATTGTTGAGGTATTGAATTTCATTAATTTCTGGTTTTTTTTTAAATATTTGAAGTCGGGGAAAGGCGAATTGATAAATAAAATCGTTATTAAGGATAACGAAATTTTAACTATAAGAACAGCTTTTTAATTGATAAATTTAATACTTGGTTATCGTTGAAATTTTTTAATATCCAAGAGAAGTTTAATATCCGAGTGATAATCAGAAAGTTTATTTTCACCTTTCGAATGATAAAACCGATAACGCGATCGGTTATGTCAACGAGATAGACGCAAATATCGGGTTTATTTGCCGTACGAGTCCGTAGGTCAAACTTCAATAGCTGTAGTCTGCTATCTTCAACACAAATAAACGACCAATACGTCATGACTGATTAATTCAAAATAATAAATCGCAATGAGAATTGTGGCTGCACTTAGTCTGGATAGATTAGCCAGTCGTGGTGACGGTACTTGAGAGATCTCGCAATATTCAACATGCTCGGTTTACTCGGCAAAAGATACAAGCTGGTGTCGAGTGACAAGTTTGATGACTACATGAAGGGACTGGGTGGGTGCAAAGACCTTCTATCTCATTATTTTTTATCTATAATCTCTGTTTAATCGCAGGTGTGGGATTGGTGATCCGAAAAATGGGAGCCCAGGTGAGTCCAGTCGTCGAGCTCACCAAAAATGATGATATTTATACCTTGAAGACGACCAGCACCTTCAAGACCTCCGAAATTAAATTCAAACTCGGTGAGGAGTTTGATGAAGAGACTCCGGATGGTCGCAAGGTCAAGAGTGTTATTACCTTGGATGGAAACAAGATGTCTCATGTTCAGAAAGGAGACAAGACCACTAGCATTGAACGGGAGTTCACTGCTAACGAGATGAAGGCCGTTAGTAATCTATTTTTTTCATTATGCAAAACCAATATTTATAGTCCTCACATTTGGAATTATTTACGAAGTAGAAGAAATCACTTGGTTCCTCGGATTTGTCATTTCATTTATTTCACGTCCAACTTGTGGACATTTTTTAAATAATTCTTTTTTCGTTGAAACAAAATTGTTTGAGAACATGTAAAGGTTTTCGCAGTTGCATTGACTCTGTCTCGTGAGTAATTCGATTCTTCGAACGCGACCATCTGAATGACTCCCCTAACAATGACCAACTGATTGATCAAAAGTACCGCCAATTATCAGTACATTTTGAGGCACGTACGTGGCCTGAAATTGAATTTTATCCTAGTGCGGGTGGGGGAGTTTGCACGCAACTCCTGGGATTATTTCTATTGGATAACTCTAATGTCAAGTCGAGTATGTTTTATTGGATAAAAACGGTGGGACCATGGTCACGCCATGGTTATCCATCAAATTGACCTGTATATTTGAAAGCAAGAGCCACTCGATCGTGTGAATGGGCCATGAGGCGACAGGAAATCATCAATCAGGACTCGATCAAGTGAATCACAGCCATTGAATTTAATTGTTACAGATTATGACTGTCGACGATATCGTCTGCACCAGGATCTATAAACTACAGGAATGAGGAGATTATCAAATTATTCCATTGACCACACAAATTACAAATCATTGCTTGGAGTATCTGGGAATCCAGTTTACTTTATTTCGCATAAAATTAAAGTTCGTAGTCTTCTGGAAGTTATCATATTGCCGTGAATGTTCATATTAAATATATACTTTTATATATTGGTTGAATCCTGTGTGAATTAAATAAAAATGACATAAAAATCCTCGAAGACGTCCAACTATTTTTTTCATTACACTTTGCACTTGAGTAATTCCTGTTATTCAATTAAATCATTATTCTCCAATTCGAATCTGTTAGTCGAAGAAATGCAAATTATATGAGACTTTTAGATAATTAACAAAAAAAAAATATGGATAGTCCTCGAAAATAGGAGAACCTAAACTTGAAGTTGAAAATAAATTTTTTTAACATTGATATCGCATTCTGCCTTGCCTACGGAGTGTTCCCCATGTGGTTTTACTCAAGTGGTAAAATCGAAATCTCTATTTAATACCCGGCATTCAGTTGAGGTTATGCAAAAGACAATAAACACCTCGATGTTCTCTTAATCTTTCAAAAGAATTAAAAGAAAAGTGAAAAGTGTAGAGTGAATCTAGAGGATGGGAGACCTGGAGCAACAGATCGAGGAGAGGATCGCCCAGAATGAGGCGAATAAACAATCTCTTATAATATTTGGCAGAGACGTGACAAAAATTCCATGCTTTAAACAAAGTTTTTTCAATGGAATTCTCAGTGGAGTTGGTGTTGGAATAATTACCTTCATGTTCACGAGTAAACCTCGACTTGCTAGTCATTGGATGGTTGGTTCCTTTGGAGGTGTCACCATAACTTTTTACTGCGTCTGCAGATATCAATATGCAAAGGAACAAATAGTCATCAGTCGGATGAAGGGACTGATGCAGGAGGCGATGATCACTGAGGGAGTAGAACACGAGGAAAAACTGAAGGAGGTTATCAAACTTGCTGAGGCTTAGAGACCTAGAATATTCGCTATTGTAAAGATGAAATAGTTTTAAGGAATCATGGGTTCTGTGAGGGCCCAGAATTTTATTGTACCTGTAATTAAATACATGAATAAATTAAATTAAATTATTCATTTTTGTCTGGGTTAATTCATGATTTTTTAACGGGTTTTTGGGATTTTGGGGGTGCGAAATGGGGAGATAGTCAATGGCATGATGTTTTGGTTCGGTGGGAATCTTCAAAAGTTTTTGGGGGTCCAAACACTTTCGATTGAACAACCGGTTTTCATCCCAATCTTTTTGTTCTTCTGTGTGAACGAGTCTAAATTTAGAAGGCGTTTCTTCTGAATTTTTTTTTTCTTATTCCCCGGTGGTTATCCTTGGAGATAGAATGGAGAGACTTTCTTGGGGTCGATCGCATGAAATTGGGATTGAACGGACATAGATTGAAATTTAAGGTAAAAAAAAAAATTTTGTAATCGCAATGAATTTGGATTCGCGAGTTGATTTCTATTTTCACTGTTTTTGATTTAAGAGAAATGACCGATGAAGGAGTTTCGTTTCTGGCGATATTATCCTATTTTCGCAATGGAGTACGCGATGCGTTAATATTGTGAGGAAATCTAGAATTCACTATTGTCCGATTGTTAAGAATAATTGGGTGAGTGAGAGGCGAAAATATTTTGGCGTTCTTTTTAACTTTAAACATTTGAGTTGAATGGAATCACCTGTAGAAATTGCGCGTTATTTTGAAAATTGAATTGTTAGAAAAAAATCGTTCCTCATTTGTTACGTCTTTGAGAATTTTATTATCGTCCATGAATGGAATATATATGGAATTAATGATAGGCTGTCATTTTCCGCCCCAAAGATAGGCTTCTGGCCCTACGATGAATCAACTCTCGACCTTCGGAGTAATATCTCCTTAACAATACGTAGATATCCTAATTGAAAAGCCTTCTTTCCATGTAAACACTTAGCAGACATGTAAATTCCATATTTATGCTTCAATTACTGCAATAATTATCCATAATTTAACTGTCTCCCTTGTAACAGAATATAGACTGCGTGAAATTATCACCGATAACCGAGACGAGTAAACTCAGAAAACGATCGTTTTCCATCCATGAATTAGAATTTACGATCAATCTTGCGTCCATATACCATCTTGGTTCAATTTTCTCTCCATTTTTTCCCTTCGGATTCTAGTCCGCAGTGTCATGGAATGTTAAAGTACAAGAACGCGTCATCCCCTGGGATTTATTATTTTTTTAATTCTCTATTTTATTTTTCCCGGATATCCACTGGTATTTTCAGGGTTTCATTATTCGCATATCTAACGCTTAAATGTCACCAGGAAGTCTCCTAATATGCCTCATATGCAGCCGTTTTATTTATAAAATTACCACTCGACATTTAATCGAAGAATTCATTAATATTATTTCAGAAGAAATAATTTTCCGTAACTGTAAAAATTGGAATGCTCTGGGAATAATTGTGAGGAAATTTAGAGTTCGATTGAGTAATCTCTCGGTGGGGATCGATAATTTTATCGGCATCACATAATTTACGACTCCACCGGAAAATAAATAATACCCAATCGTTAAATAATTGGAATCAAGTTCAATCGTCGACGTTAATGAGAATCATCACGAATTTCAGTCATTAAAATCCCGTGAAAGGAAATAAAGAATACACTAATTTTAACCTTTCGGCTTTGGTGTTGCAAATGCCTTTCGGCACTGACCAAAGGTCTTCATGTAAATATTTTGATTTCAATCCCCGTGATCACTAAATATATTACACATATTCCCAGGTATCGAGGCTCATGAATATTCGTTAATACATTGTTAGAATTCGTCATCAATCATTATATTCCTCAATAGAATTATAATCTCATTTGGAGAAAATATATGACTTTTTATCTCACAGCCTTCGTATTAATCATTAACTAATTCCCCTGATCGATGAAATGACGGAAAAAGATGGACCAGTCATTCCTCAAGATTTAAATCCGATTGAAATCAAAATGAAAAATCGACACCCATAGAAAACCGAAATAGAAATCCTCAATTTTGCTGTTTTTCTATTCGAGGCCTGAATTTCAAATAACAGATTATTTTTTGTAATAATGAAAATAAAATTTCAACATTTGCCCTGTCGCCTTGAATGAGTAAATGAAGAGCCGTAATATCTGAAGAAATCAAGAATGTAGGCGAAACAAGGACGATTATAATAATAAATTTTTTAAAGATGCGGTTTATTAAATATCCAAGCTTTTCCAGGACTCTGACTTCAGCCACGCACATCGTATTATCATACTAATGCTTAGAGACTCTTAATTGCTGCGTGCGATTATTTCCCACGGAAGAATTTCGTATAATAACGTGACTATTCAATTCTTGAATTTATCAATAGCCGAAGGAGATTGAGATGACACCACATCTTTCACTATTTGAATAGACTCGTGATTATTATTCCTCCGAAAAGCCTCAGTCTTTTATTCAATTCATCAGTTTCGCAACACTACATTCATCCCGACCCGAGGCGCAGAAATCTAAAAAGTAACAGAGAAAATCGGATGATAATTTAACAATTACCAATTATTCTGCATGACTTGTTCACCAATTTGGGTATTAAGTCCGACCTCATGTGAAAGGACTCGAAAAAAAATTGTCTCTTTTTTAAAATAATCAAAATGATCAGTCCAACTCAAAAATTTCAATTAGTATATCCAAAAAAATGTGTTCCATTCAATATTCAACCCTATTGCACTCGCAATAATTAACTTAATTGGTTAATTGAAATACTATTGTTTAATTGGAGTCAGGGATCTAGTCTGGATGAACTCAATGAAATATTTTGAGGTACAGCAACTGGAGATTGAGTAAGAGACTCTGTGGAGAACAAGAAATGACCCATCATAATCCAGCACCGTAACGACTCAATTTCGTGATAATTACCTGGATGTCGTAATTAAAATGGTTGTCCAATTGGTGGACAGTTTATAATTGAGATGAACAGTGGGTTTGAGAGGGAATTATGAAATTCATTAGGGTAGACTGGATTTGGGGAGAGATTTGCACCAACTATTCGAGTGGGCCAGTGTGATTACCCAGACACGATATTGAACACCGCGAACCGCTCATATTCATCTTTTTGCACGATCAAGTGTAGTAAATTCGGTGAAAGTCCACCAGATCCGGGGAGAAATTTACTGACAACACAGACTTGCCGTAACAAGCGACATTGAGATGGAGCATTTAATGGGTTCACGCTACCGCACCACGCGATTCTTTATGAGCCGCTCTCATTAACTCCCAATGAGTTTATTTTTCAATAATCGATTGAAAAACATCACTGACTATCGAAACCAATAATCGCTAACAAAAACGACTAAAAAACGACTTTTTTTTCCATTTTTTAAAATCGTTTTTGGGGATCGAAAAAGTAATAATAATTATAGTAATTTGCCTACACTGTAATAATTCAGTACAGCACTAAAATTATTCTAAAGAATTTTCCTCGGTGCATTCAGAAATTCCTGCGTCGATTTGCCAACCGCCTGGGACGCAGGTGATATGAATTCCGATAGATTAGATTCGTGACGAATATTTTCGATAGGTCGATTGCTGAAGCAACATTTGAAAAGTAATAATCCTGTCATGGTACCAGAAAAATTTTATTAATTCATCTCTTATTTATAACCAGCTATTGCAATAGGTGATTCTCAGTAATATGATAATTCTATGATAATTGGGGAGAAGCTACTGATAGACAGATTAATTTTATATTTGTAGATGGTATCTGAAAAGGAAATGTAATCAACTAGGGCTTGAGGTCCCGAGACACTTTTACTCCGTGGATTTCACAAGTTCCAATCTAACGTGCCTTCAGCTGTCAAATCCCACATAAATCGACTCATCATATTCAGACGATCTCGATCCCTTTCATGAGATAACATCTAACATGACAATGATTGCGCTCAACCATTGTCGGGATAATCGAATGTTAACTTGACGAATGATGTCTTCAGCTGTTGAGACTCGTCCCATTTATCATCCAGATATTTTATTGTCACGTGCCTCTGCTGAACTGTCACAGGACAATTACAAATACTGAGTAATCTAGAACAGATTGTAATTACGGATGTCATCAGGGAGTGGGAAAATTCATCGAAAAATCTTCGACAGGGAAGAGAGCTAAGAACGAGTACTGGAATTTTCTTCAAATACTTTTTTTGGCATGACTGAAATATCCTCGCGGGTTATGGAGTCACTGATTCAATCGCAATTGTATTTTTCTCTCTCCCGTCCAGGACTTGCGTTGTTACTCGCCTAATGAATCTCAACGTCATTGATAAGAGGGAAAGGGTCCTTGGGACACTTACGAGACACCCACGCGGTAGAAAAATTGCAATAAATGCTCGGCGAATTTTATGAGGGAGTGAAGGATCATTCAAGGATCTCCATCCGCAAATCGATGTTTGGAATTCTTAGTCATCGATTGGGAAATATTCGGTGACGAATTTTATCTTCCCGGATATTCGCTGAGAAAAACGATTTCTCGTTACCAGGAAAAATCATTTGATTCGAGAATTCTATTAAAATTTATGAACACGAAATAATTATCTAACAGCCATTATGATGTCTGATAACAATATATTCGCAAATGGAGATGTCCGCGAATATCCTATATCGCGTTTCATTCGATTTAATTTTAATTCAATTAATCACAAATTTTTGTCAGTAAAAATCATGATCTAGGTGTGCACTCCTGCACTCATGCACTCATGCAATTGCGAAATTAATTGCGAGGCTATCGGTCTTCAGGATCGTTGGGAGGCTGCATAAATTCAAAATTTAGTGAAATAAATAAAAATTTGAAGGTATCGAGGGAGTGAAATCGATATCCTCTATAAAATCACGTGGCATATGACCAGAAATATAAATTGAAGGCGCGGTATTACGTCGCCAGTGATTACAATCTCAAGAGCAAAAAAAATTACCAAAAAAATAACAGAAATTCCCACAAATCTACAACGCGGACTTGAGACTCATATCATGTCTCGTCATGGTGATGAATTCGTGATTTTTTTGTCCTGTCATTACGAGGTAAACATTGAGTTATTTCAGTGTGAGGGAAGAGTGATCGTTTAATTATCGTCTCGTTGTTTCGACGGGAATTTCCAAGATGGAAAATCATTGGCGCCTTATCTGACGGCAAAATCATTATCCGGATGTGGATTTTATCACAGCTGTTGATGATTATTTGATTGCCAGATCGTGACTCGTTTTGTTAATTTTCCGAATATCTTACCTCAGCATAAACGACGGTTAACTTCACTCGCAGCATAAGTGAATGATTAATGGTCATTCGATTCACGATTATTCACGGGCTTTCTGCCATACCCTCGAGATTTAACGAGTGCACGGAGAAGAGTTATTGTTTATTGCTGATTATAAATCATCGACTACCCGGCGCTAAAATTCAAAACACCGTGTGTACAAGTTATATCCGAATGTACACCAGAACAAAGAGGAGAATAATGAGGAGAATTGCTCGGTGAAAAGAAGTCAGTATTAAATAATCCAATCTGATAAATACCAGTGCGGTGTACCAGCGCTGAGGAGAATGACTCAATAACATTTCGAGAGTTGTATATTCGTGATTTAAAAAACAATTTTACTGCATAAATTCATTCCTCTTTAACCGCATGTTTAATATTGTACGGTGTACAATCCGTTACTGGAGGATTTATCCTAAAATAATTCTCCAGGCAAGGCTGTTCGAGGCTGTTTGAGATGACTGCATTTATTATGTATTCTCCGACATGTTGACGCCCAGCAAAATATTTTTTTTTCTCACTCCAAGTGTCAATCTCATCGCTGATTTAATAAATTCATCGTCACTCAGCGAATATCCCTGTCATTGTGAAATTACACTTCCTGGATGGTAGGGAATTTCTAAATCCATAAAATTATACAGCGGGGATGTGGTTATCACGCAATGGTGCTAACGAAAATCATCTTTTTATTGATACCCAGAAATTCTTGGGATTTGTAATACCAAAATCTCTGTCAAGGTAGCTCCGCGTGATTTCTACGTGAGTAATCGTCTGGGGCAATTACGAATTTTGGGAATCTCCTCGATTTCGGATTTTTATTAAATTACCAACATCCGTGGCTTCAATTTTCCATGATTAATTTACGCGGAGAAATTCTCTAGAAGATAATTGTGGGGAATTATTACTTGTATTTCAGTTATTGAAAGATGGAATTTCGTTGGGAATATGTTCTTGTTCTCATTCTGGTTTTAAATATTCATGTTTCGTAACAAATATAATAAGTTGTGATAGAATCTCGGGGAATCTTGATATTTCATCAATCATTTCCTCTCGAATTTTCCTTCCGGTCACTTGTCAAAATTTCGACTAAACAATGACGCTTCACCGTTGGACAATTGGTAAATTCATTTGTCCGTTTATGGAGTAATTCAAATAACCATTCCTCAGTTGAACAGACATACCTCTCAACTCACCGAGAAAATGATTAAAGTCACTGATAAATTTATAGCCTACGAAATAAAGTACGTCGAAAAGTAATTCTGAACGTCAGAGAAGAAATTTATTCTCCTTTCTTCACGATAATAATCAACCGAATGATTGCAAAGTGTGATTGGTACCTAGCCCCGGAGGTATAATCGATAAATAATCGCAGATTCATCCAGATGCATTCAAAATCTCCACTCAGTAATTCATATAATCGATTGATTTATCCCCAAAAACCGAAGCTCCTTGGCCTAGACACTTACGTCACATACATCTCGAACGTATTAATGATACATGGAGAAAAAAACTTTCCTTCGATTTCATAACTCGACACAACAAACACCACAAAAACTGTTGGCACGTAGGCTTAATGAAATGTTTAGTCGAAACTCTCGACGAATTCTCATAGATTTCCCTGCCCATAAAATCCGAGCCAGAAGAAATTTCCTGAATCAAAAAAATCCTTTTCCCAGTGAAATTCCAAATGACATGATTTCCTCCAGAAAAAAAATGCAAACGGAGATGTGCCGGTAGCTGAAGACATACCCTCCAAGTAAATAAAAACCTGGAAAGCAGTTACAACACTCGATACATTACACACCGAATCCTATCCTATACTTTACAGTGGCGAAAAGAAAAAACACAAGCACGTGGCTTTTGGGATTTAATGCGCGTGGCCCAGAGTATGAGGCGCATTAACCATCGAATGCACGAAAAAGAGATAAAATAAAATTGAGGTATCGATGCATAATAAACCCCCGGGGCGCAGACAACAGCTGACTGCATACGAAAAATCTACCAGGATCACTTGCTCTTTTTTTTTTTCACTGGGCAAAGGTGAGAGTGTGCAGTTGTGCACCAATCAACCCTAACACACGTAAGGTAGATATAATATGATAACGAGAGGAGATCGGAATTTACGGAGAAAGTCAGAGCCAAACCGATGATCAGGGGCGAGGAAATTTACGCATAATACGCATTTATTTTATACGATTTAAGGCCAATCGTCCAAGGAATCCTCGGTGTTTACGTGGACCCGAGTCTTCATCATCGACTAATGGAATATTTTCCCTCAACACTTCAAGACGTAAATTATCTCTCAACTGTTTAGATACTCATGCTTAAACATAGCTTCATTAGGAATAATTAAGTTCTGTATTATTACTTTGGGATGTGATACATCGGTTTGGCATTAATATTGAAGGTGCAGATGTTGTCATGCTTGAGTCGCATTGTTTCTAGAATTGAGAATTATGTTACATGGGGAAATTATTTACAATTCCAGTCTTGATGGTCTAGTGGAATTACTATTTAATTTTCTAATGGTATTCATTTTAGATTTTTGGGGGAGTCGAGAAAAATTTAATGGAAATACGATTTTATGATCATTCTTGGAAAATCGGGAAGCATTGGGGAATATTTGGAAACTCTGAATTAATCTAATGTCTCGTTCTATTCGGTACTGAATATTTATGCTCAATTCAGAATTCAAGACAGTTGTGATATTTCAGTTTCAGTCCTCCTTGAATTTAACGAGTTCTATTGGATTTTCAATAAAACTCGGAATTTCATAACCGATTTCGTCCGAAAAATCAAATGTCACTCTAATAAAGGTTCATCCAAGGATTTCCAACATTCGAAATTTGAATTCCATTTAATTTTATTTTCCAAATATTCCGAACATAATGTACTCTCTTTTAATTTAATCGATAAACAAAATGTTCATGTCCCACAACCACGAATATGAAAAAGATGAATGAAAAGAATTTCTCGACACGTCCAAGAAATTCTCGTGAAATTCCCGAGAAATTCTCGAAGAATTCAACGCGAGTTCTCCAAGTTGACAATTCGCTGGAGTCCCTGAAGTAGTATCTATCGGATTGTCGAAAAAAACACGACGAGAATTTCGATTATTTTACGGAAACGAGAAAAAGCAGTCGATTAAAATTCCCATCTGTCTCAAAATCAGTAAATCAATGACACCACGAGTAGCATCGATGATACAAAAGACAGGAATTATGCGGAAGATATAAAAATACCTCCGACTGATCTATTAAAAATCATCACTGGACTTACCGATACCTGACAGCTGCATTATTTATGGATGAATGCCAAAAGGCGCATGACAGAGATGACATCATAGTACGTCATGGATTATGAATCACAGTGGGTAATCCAGAGTACGTGGGTACATATCCAAGGTTGAACCCACTCGAATTCCATACCAGAGTCTGAAATAAAAACAACAATGGGAATATTACCTTTTGACTCTCGATCTGCGAGGGTGTCACTGATCGAATTGTCCTGGCCAATAACATTTCCCATTAATCTCCCTCATACTTCATCTTCAATTTCATCATAACTTCCCTGTCATACCTTTTGTCATGCCTTGGTTATTTGTGCTAATGAATTCGTCCATCGCAACGATCGCAACCCCACATTGACATTTCTCACTGGTTTATGTCACTGCTCCACTGCTCTCATTGGTGCACCATTGGTCCAAGATTATTCTCTTTCAAATTCAATAGAAGATGTAACAATCGGTAAAAGTGCCGTTCTCATATTCATTGTCTCGAATATACGGTGTGGTGGCCATGGACCGATATACGAGCAGGATTCACGTCGACGCCTCAGTGTCCTTGACTCCTTTAAAATACCCCAGGCGAATATTTTCGAGAGTCGAAACCATCGAAACACGGATATTGTCATTGTTCCTCCATCAACGTTCGTTAGCCCCATCCAGCGGGTTCCGGAATAGATTTTCACATCGTAAAAATTCCTCCGACACATATCTCCTTCAATTATCTCATCATCCATGATTCTCTTACACAATTCGTCTATAATAACCCCCATTTTTCGGTAAAATTAATGAATAAGCCTGCATAAATAAAAGATCAAGTTAATTACTCAATCAATCGCGAAACTCAATCAATAATCTCAAGGATTGGAGGATACACCGGAATGAGGAAATCACTGAAAAAAAAAAACGGTATCAAAAAAATTCCGGAGGTGTACCCGAACCGCCTCCGTAGTTCGTGAACTTTAGTGTAAAAAGTCAAGGTCGAAATAATGGAGGTAAGAGCTAAACCCGAGAATTTTTTCCTCCAGGAAGAGCTGATGCTAATGACTGGCTGATGACTAGATACCGATAACGATTTCACAGGTTTGCCCAATAATTCTAGGGCCACCGATGGTAGTCAAGGTTTGAAGATCTCAGATGATTTCTGAAATCGGAGAAGAAAGGGAGGAGTGCAGTTGAATTATCGTTGGTTGATGGTGAAGGAGATGTTGAATATTTTGGACAAGATGGGAATTGTACGGGCCATCGGCTTTCAGCCAAAGCAGGGATAGGTGCTGAAGGACAGGAGGTGCTGTTCACCTGGGTGGGGATACATAGCTCTGAGGATGGTATAAGAGAAGCCAGGATATGGAGGCGTCGCCAGTCACACTAACTTTCTTTAAAGCGATACATACGTGTTATTTCACGGGGACGCGTATCAGGTGAGTAAATCCCCTCGAGTTCCCAAAAGTTACAGCTAACTCGACAAATTTGAAACTAAAGAACTGGTGCTAAGTTGTGATTACGTGACACCAGGAGTTCAGGGGTATTTTCTATTGTCAGTAACTTATGTGGTACAGTGTGAGGGTGTATCGGTTTGATAATCAGTGTTCATTGAAGCATTTCATTGATTGAGCACACGATATGCTATTGCCAAGTGGTAATGTTTACACTCACGTTCAAGTTGAAGGCCTCAAACGGTCATGCGGTTAGAGACTAGTTTAGCAATGAGTATTCAATTACCGGTATGGTAAATCATGCGATTTTCCTCAATAGTTATTATGTCATTAAGCTTGTAGTCAATTACTGGAGTCAAGTTGCTGCAATGTTTTCTCAATAGATTCTGGGGAATTCGTGCTAATTGACGGTAATTTTTGATGAAGAAAGACGGGTAAATGTCAGAACGCGATAATGTGTATTTCGTTGAAATATCCATCAATTCGTTTTTTACATCGGGGAATTTTAGTTCAGATGATTAAGCACAAGGTGAGGTTGTTGATAAATATGTAGATTGCTTTTGATTATTATAATTCGACGTGGGGTAAAAACCGGGAGCTCGTGGATCTGGTTTTTATGGCAATTAAATGTTGAATTACTTTTTTTAGGAAGTTAACATGACGTTTAATGATTGACTGAGAGAAAAAAACAAACGATTTTTCATTTTTTGAAAGGTACCCAACGATGAGACGACAGTCAATGTTGCTGCTGTTGGCAGTGGCGTTTGCTGCATGTGTAAACGCAAGTCCGTACTCGAAAGTACCGTACAGTTATCAAGGACAGGGATTTGGTAATGCCAAAGCCTCAGCGCACTCGAGTGCAAGTAGTGGATATGGCTCCTCATCCTCATCATCGGCTTCATCATCGGCATCAGCATCAAGTTCATCCTTTGCCACCAGCAGTGCCAATGCCCAGGCAAATATCGGCGCAGCCGAGGAGGACGGTTACTTCCTGAACAATCCTGGTACTGGATCTTTGGATTTGGAGGGTGGTGCTGAAGTGCCTCACCAGGAGCTTCAGACTCCGCACGCTTTTGGATCCGGAAGTCATGCAGGAAGTCAAGGGGGAAATCAAGGAGTCAGTGATTCTGGATCTGGTCAGACACAGCAGGGGGGTGATTACTGGTGGATGGGTGCTGGAAGCCCATTTGGACCCAGTGGTAAACCATCCATTGGTTGCGGTTCCAGTGCATGCACAGCAAGTGGAACTTTCAACTTAAACCAGGGCAGTGGTGGAGCTCACGCCGAGAGTGATGAGGGACAAGTTCAAATTCAGGTGAATAAGAATCCATTCTTGAATGGAAATGGTGGATCTTTCAGTGCTGGAAGTAGTTATCACACTGGGTCTCAGCACTCGGGATCATCTGCCGTTGGATCTCAACACTCAGGATCATCTGTGGGATCTTTGGGATCATCTGTGGACGAATCTCAGACTTCGGATTTCTCGAAGAATCCGTTCTTCAATGGTGTGGCTTCGGGGGCTGGAAGCAGTGCGAGCTCTTCTGCATCGGCATCTGCTCATGCTAATGCACAGGCTAATGCACAGGCCAATGCGGCAGCTAATGCTGCAGCCAAGGCAGCAGCAAATGCAGCAGCTAATGCAGTTGCCAATGCAGCAGCCAATGCGCATGCTAATGCTGTGGCTAATGCAGCAGCCGATGCAACAGCTAATGCCAAGGCTAGTGCCAATGCAATCGCCAAGGCTAATGCCAATGCAATTGCCAATGCAAATGCCAACGCAAATGCCAATGCCAATGCTGATGCTTACAATCGAAATCCATTCTTAAACTCTGGACATGTTCAAACACCACAAGCACCAGCTGTTCAGCAAAACATCGATCAAGCACAGTACCCTGATGACTCTCAAAGCCAAGAGCAGGACTTTGACGGATATACTGAACAGAATCCCATCCCCAAGTTCCCAGAGTCCAGTGGCTTCACCGTCAGCTGCACTGGAAGAGGAAAAATCTGCGTGGCCAAGCATCTCTGCAATAACGGATACGTCAGCTCTAGCCTCCAGGGACTCACCCAGGTGCGATCTGGCGTAAGTCATAATCTTTGATTTCTATTTTAAAGAAGGACGGATTCCAGTTAATTTTAACTGACGACGAAAACCGGATGTTTATTCAAATCATTCATAAAAATTTATCTCAAATCATTACTCAAAAAATCTTATGCAACTGCCGGTGGGTCGTGTACGTCTCAATCGTGGGAATCAATCAAACGGTAGCTGAAAATTAACTTGAACAAGACAATTAACTCCTCGACAGGAAACATTCGAGTGCCCGATGCGTTTGAAATGTCATCTCAATGTCAAGATTACGGTGATAATCGCGATGAAGATTTACGATTTGATGGTATGACTTTCGGAGCGATTCGGTTGAAGAATTGCCTCTAGGATATTCAGGGTAATATTGCCGTCATTGGATCATCATCTTGGCAACTCCCAGTGGGCCTATTACGCAATCGGTACAGCTCTGCGTAACGAAGGTGGTCGTTAAGGTGAAAAAGGCCGTTTAACTTTCACGCAGTTGTCTGATTAAGAGAAATAATTCACTATATTTCATGATTATTTTTACACATATACTCTTTTATTTTCGGTGTTTCTCGATAAACTTGCGACGCGCGACATCGATCCCTTATCGTATCAAAACCCTGGATCACCCATGACTGGCTCTAATTACGAAGACATGTTCATGAAGACTTCACAGTTTTACTGAGAAATCGTTTATAGTACCGAGATTCATACTTCCTAGATTCTGGGGATATTATTAATTGATCAGCATTGTAGTGTGACGATCTGTAGATACCGATCTCTCGTGTGTTATTGAGAAGGCTCTTCTGTGACGCATGACACACGGAAAAAAATCTGCTAGTTCCAGAAAATATCCATCAATCGTGGGAATTTCCTGGTGGTCAGACTATTTGTGTCAAACTATTGAGGCATCCTTCATCCTTCATCCAGATGTCTTCGCTAATTCAGGCGGTTATCAACGGGTTTTTCCTCTGTGTCGTCGTAGTAATCACCAGTTGGTCAGGGCCATCGATCCAAAACAAGTGATTTCCTAATTTGGAAAGTTCCATTCCCTTGGATCTCTGATCACAAATTTGCAACAACACTCGGGCTAAATCGTCGATGATACCAATTAAATATTTAATGGTCACGCGCACTTCGGCCAAGTTATTTGCATAAATTATTAAAGAAAGGTGGTTATTTTCTGGGCAAAGGTGCACCTTTTTCGCCAACTTACAAGCGAAGAGGATGGAAAAGCCCGAGTGAAAGAGAGAAAGGGGAGAGCCCCGGGTATATGGCTTCCTCTTTATTTCGATCCAGAGTTACAAAGCCCAAAAAAAAAATTGTTATAATAAAATGATCCGGGGGTAGAGCCATATCATAAAATTTCTGTTTTACAACTACAATTATTTTTATGGAATGCAGAAATTGGTGAGGCTGATATTTGGCAACAGTACCATCTAGAATAAACGGGGAAAATTGAACGTCAAACCAAGACCTCTCATTAAGACTCTTTGCAGCATTAATTAACGGGAATAAAATTCAATTGCTATTTCATTCTTCGTTGAATTCTAGTCGTGTTATTGGCACAATTTTTCTTTTCTTTTTGCTGCGGGTCGTTGATGATGGGTCAGGGGTCTCTCGCCACATCACTAATTCCGGAGAAAGCCTCTCTCTCTTTCGCACGGATATTTTTTATTATTTCTTCATTTATGCGAAGTGTGATAGATCGGCGAAAGTGATGTTATGTCATGATGTACGCACATTTCGGAATTTTTGATCTGATGTGATGAAGGAAAGCACCACCCGCACGAAAGAATAGTCAATAATTATCTCGTAGCGTTAAAAAAAAATCGCATGGGGAATGATCTTTCGGGAAAAAATGGCTGAGTGGTGGTGTTGGTGATTGTGAAATAAGTATCTTCACATCTGGAAAGACATTTGTGGTATTGCATTTGCGGTGTTGATTCATCACTTTTTTTTTTTTTAGCGATCCGCCTCTTCGCTCCGCTGTAAATACTCTAACGTCACTTTGAATTAATTAGTAACACCTCCGTGTATTTATGCGGATGTTTTAGGCAATTGAAAATCCGGAGTGTTATTTTTTTTTTTAATTCTCCGGGTAGGAATTACGCAGTCACCGTGGGTTTCTCAGGTGCAAATACATTCGATCAGGATTCAGTCGGGCTATGTGTCACGGGCGCGTCACGAGTTTTCAAGTTGGCCTTGAGGTAATTCTAATATCCGAGAATTTCGATGATAAATCCATTTGGGTCATCCATATTCATCATCCGGGTTTAACTGTTTCGTTACAAAATATTATGCGATTATTATTATAATTTTTGGGATGAGTCACGTGGCGGGAGAAATTGATTCTTAAAATTTGGGAATTCATGCCAATCTGGTTGCGTCTCTCATTATGTAAATATTTCATCTAGAATGTCAGGGAGGCTTCAATGGGGTCATGATTAACATGGGAATTTCGCGACACTTTTCGTCAGATACCCGACACCAAGTCGCTAATATATTTCGCAATAAAATTGTTAGTATTGTAGGACTTTCGGTGAGAAACGCCTCCACACATCCGCATTATTCCGTTCATATTCATTAATTAATTCCTCAATTATTATTCTCGTTCGAGATGATGACTATTACCGATACCCAAGGATTCAACAATTTCAATTCTTCAATTTCAATAATTATTTAAACTTGTTTAAAGATTCCTTTCAATATTTCAATGATTAATCTAAAGAATTTGGAGTTAGAAATTTGGAATAGGAACAAGTGGTAAAAAGTCGGAGTTCTAGTATGAATTAAAAAAAAAATCCCCGCAGTACTTTAATCTCTTTAAACCGCTCATTGAATGTTTGTTTATTTTTATGATTTTTTCCATTGAAATTCCATTCTCTTACCAGACAGCTTTCGCAGGTGCACATCTACTTATACGAGAAGTTATCCCCACTGGTGAGTTTCACCAGGTGCCCCCCCAGTTGAATTAAATTAAACTCGTGCTCGAATTTAAAGTGGACCAATTTCATGTTGAGATGAATTTCTCCTCAGGATTCTCAAACAGCTCAAGATCCACGGACTTTCGATTACAAGCGGAATGAGAATTGTTCATCTGTGTTGACATTTATCTCTGGGATATGTGACGAGTGATACAATTGACAAATGGAAGACAAAAAAAAATCTCGATTTCCCTGAGGACTGGTGAAGCCCTCATTTGACCATAGAACCATCACATGTCTTATTTTTTTCTTCAGCATGACTGAGACAATACTGGATTACCTTGCCGTTAAAGTTCAATGGACTTAAGGTCGTTCGGCAACCTTCGTTTTCATTTTATCATCCTTATTACGTCTTGTGCGGTGATGCCTCTGAGGGGCTCATTATGAAATTCCTCGATTGGTTGTGAAATCTTTGTTATACAGATCATTAATGACTCGATATTTCTCCATTAAACTTTTCAAAATGGCATTAATAGTAATGACTTGAGTCAATGGTATTAATTTTTCGTGATTGTCAACAGAGAGTATATAATTAATTATTAGGCGCCAGCGATTATTTAATACGTGCGCAATCCTATGAAGAGTTGTACGTGACATGTCGCATAAAAGGTGCCTTAAATTTATTACCAGGTAGCAACTTGCAGAGTTGCATCCACTTAACCGCTCGTGAGTTACGCAGCGGATATTAAAATTAATTTATTAACACTTTAGGTGGTTCAACGTGCCTGAGGTGTAATAACATTGTAAGCAAGTAGAATATTCGATAAAAAATTCATTTAATGGTTTTAGGCCCAGGACTGCGATGTGAATCGTGAGGTATGCTGCACCATCAACAGCCAGAAGAGTCCGGATCAGTCAGCAGCTGGAAGTGGGTACTACGACGGTCCCATCGAAAGACACCCACACACTGGAGGAATTTTCGACGACGAGGGACATCAACCAGCTGAGAATAATGGCTATTTGCCACCTTCACCTTCAATTAGGCATGATGGCACTGCACAGGAGCCATCTTTTCTCAGACCTCCACTGAGGCCCAAGGAAATTGTACCAGCCCCTTCAGAACCTGCACCAACTCATGTTCAGCTCGGATGTGCAGCTGCTCTTGTATGCGTCGAGGAACAGATGTGCGGAATGGATGGAACCATGAGCTCAACTCCAATTACTCTTACTAGTGAACAGCTTTTGAGACGAGTACCACTCAGTGTACGTTCATATCTTAAACTCATAAATTATTATTATTCCATTTTAATGAATTCATTATTTTATTTGCATCGGGAGTGAGATTGATATCAATGAATTACATGATCCAGGAGAAATAATTTTCAATGATTTTTCTTCAGGATTGCAAGAACCCGGACAATGGAGTGATTGGCAAGTGCTGCCGAGATCCGAATTACGTTGACCCCTGGCCAGCAGGCAATCTCCCAGCTAACTACTCCGGTGGTTTCGATGAGCAGGGCTTCCCGACCTTCCTCAACATCCAGAGAAATCGCCCAACGAAAAAACCCACCAGTCCACCTCCAGCCAAAGGTCGCCCACCAATCAAAGGATTCTCCCCCCAGCCAAAGCAATTCCCAAGCTTCCCTGAAATTCAGAATCAAATAAGTGGTGCTTTGAATAACTACTTCAAGCCAACTCAGACTCCTCCCGTTCAGCCAAGTCACCCAAGTGATGATGAACCTGCTGGAGTCCCAGCCAAACCAAACAGACCGAGTTTCCCAAGCTTCCCAAATTTTCCCAATTTTCCTAATCCCTTCGGACAAAAAAATTACGAGTCGTCTGCAACTGACGAGCATCGCGTTGCCATTACACCCCACACACCTGGAAGCCAGTGCGGTGTTAAAAACACAGTAAGTGGTCACTGCTCTCATTAGCCCCTACACCTTTAAAAATTATTGATTGATATTTCCAGATTTACCTCCATACTCCGGAAAATTCACCAATTTGATTAATGAAATTTAACAATCTCCTAGGTCGTTTCTGTTTTTTTTTTCTATTCAATTTTTATCATCTGTTCTTGTTTTTAGTCGATACAATTAATAGTTATTTACTGCCATGTTAACGTGTAGTACAGTGATGAATAAAGTCCAGTGATTTTATTTTCGATTTTAATTAAATTGGACAATTCGTTGTCTCGTTATTCCCAATCCTCAAATGTTTTATTCTCCAACTGTGGTAGTAGATTTTAATTCTTAGTTGTGGCTAATTAATTTTAACGATGACTGATTGATTAATTGGTGGGGGTTGTTAAGCTAATTTAGTCGTAATGTGTTCTGTGTGGAGTTGTGGATGTATATTCTGTCGTTTTTCTGTTTGACAATCGAAGGTTCAACGGCCAAGTGGTTTAAGCGACGTTGAAGTAGGCTTTGGTGAAATTCCTTGGCAAGCGATGATACTCGATAATGAGAGAAAGAAACTACTTTGCTCTGGTGCATTTGTTGCACCCAATGCAGTTTTAACCGCAGCCCGATGTCTCGATGGGTAAGTCATCGATAAAATTTGGGTGTGAAGGAGAGAATATAATGCACGATAATTTATCATTCGACATTTGCTAATCCAAAAAAAATACAACTCCGTAGAATTTTTCTATTTAATTTTAGTCCAACACCCAATTTAATGCTGCGTAAGATGAAAACTAAAGATTTCCATTCGAAAATAGATTCCAGCCTGGGCAGATTTCGGTTAAGGCAGGAGAATGGAAACTTGGATACGAGCTGAAACACGAGGAGCCTCTTCCCTTCGAAATCGTCCAGGTCGACTCAATTGTTCCACACCCGGGATATTTGCCTGGTTATGCTGCACATGATGTTGCCATGCTCATGCTGGAGAAACCCGTGGCCTTGGATCGGCACGTGGACACCATCTGCCTGGGCAGACCAGAAATACCAAAACCCGGAAGCCGATGCATTTCCACTGGATGGGGAAAGACCATTCTCGAGAGTGAGTGCTGATTAAATTTTATAAATATCCTCACTTTAATGATAGACAGTTCCACAATATTTTTCTCAATATTTTCTCGTTACAGCCCATGCGGCAGGAGCTCTGATGCGTGCCATCGACGTCGACGTAATGAGCATCCAGGACTGCGAACAGCGTCTCCAAGAGGCTGAAGGCCCTGTTGACCTGGACCAAACCCTCGTTTGTGCCAAGGCCCACAGAACAAACAACAACATGTGCCAGGTAGATTTTGGTGGCCCACTGGCTTGCGACAGAGGTGATGGCCACTACGAGATCATGGGTGTCTACACTCAGGACACTGGATGTATCCCCACAAATCAAGTGGCTACATTTGCCCTCGTGGATGACGCGTGGGTCCAGCAAACATTAGAATCACCACCTGTGCCAGAGGCTCAACGTCGTGTAGAGGATGAAAAACCTCACACATTCGAGAGACAGCAGCCATGCGACTGCCAAAAGAGCAATCTCCCTTCTCAGAACAATCAATATCTACCTCCCGTCTAATCGGGCCGACTGAATTCATTAAAACTTGAATATAAATGATAATGATTTTTATGAGCACAAACTCTTGCCTTTCAATTTATTCCTCGATTGAAACAGCAAAGAGGGGGAAGCTGAGATTTTTTTTTTCGACAATGTAACGCCATAATTTCAATGAGATGCAACGAGTTTAGTAGCCACTTTTCATTATTTCGTAAAAATGTGGAAATTGCGGATATGAACAGAGAATTTCCCTATTTTAAGGACTTGTGTATGCGTAAATCCGTATGTACTTAAATATTCGTCGGCAAATGTTGTAAATTAGATGACTGTGCAGCTGAGGAATAAAAATTCTTCATTTGCACACTTATACTATTTCTAGTGTATTTATGAATGGATGTGATAATTCGATGTCTTACGATATACATTTTGTTTTATCACGTGGAGAATAAACTTAGATATAACAATTACACAGAATTTCGAATTTTATTTCCCTGTAAACTGTAATTAAAGATTAATGGAGCACGAAGGACAGTTATTTAATCATCTCAAGTGTCATAAAAAATTCACAAATGACTGAAAATTGCCACATGATTCCGTGATATATAGTCTGACAAATAAATTTAGAGTAGTCCCTGTCGTTTGAGATCCTCATAAGTCTTCCTGTTGACGACATTGCCGAGGGAATCCTCAAATTCCTCCTCCTGCTCAGGCTGCCACCTCTCCGCCTGCTTCTGAGCTTTGAGTTTCTCCCAGAGAGCGAGAGCGTCCTCGATCTGTGTGACATTAGCAAAATGCGCTGTATTTGGAATTCCCAGACAACGCATGCCATGAGCATGTCGCCACTCAGCGAAATGCCTCTGGAAAGCCTTAGGTCCTTTATACGTAAAATTACCACAGATTTCGCAATTGTAACTGATGTTGAGTCCATGTAATTTGTACAGCCAGTACGGTATGGGTTTTCCATCCCACCCGAGGGGTAAATTCTTGGGATTATAGGGAACCTCATTGTCATCCTCTTCCTCAGATTCACTTGCACTGGCCTCAGCATCTGAATCTCCTCGCTCACCTTCAGTCCTTGCTTGCTTCCTCTGGACATTCTCTTTCGTAGCAACTCTCTGGTTCGATACCAATTCCGCAAGTTTATAAACTTGTGCCTCAAGTCGCGCTATTTCCTTCTGCTTCTCACTGTCTTTGCTCTTTCCCCCTTTCTTATTTCGATTTTTCACGAGAGAATTTGGATCTAGCTGTGCACCATTCTTGGTTTTCCACAGTCTCTGGGCTCTTTCCTCTAGAGTGCCACCGCATTTCAAGCCCAATGCCATGAGGGCTGATTTCAATCTGTCGAGACCTAGGGATGCGAGCTCCTCCCAGGAGGAGAAACCAGAAAGCTCTAGGTGAGCGCCGACATTGGCCAAGGCACTGCCAGTCTCCTTCGGCCATCCTGGAAAGGTACTGCTCTCCCACTGGACTTCAAAGTCTTTCTGACACTCTGACAAATCTGCATTTATGTCGTGGATAGGTTTGACTCTACCTATGTACTCGGCTAGGTATTCCAGGAGGGCCTCGACGTACCGACGATACTCAGCGTTTTTTCTTTCTCTTGGAATATCAAACAAGTGATCAAAAGTAGATAAATATGTGATGTAGTCGATCTTCTCTATTCCCTTGAGGTTCACGTACTTCTCGTAGCACTCGTGCAGGTCCAGGTATTTACCGTAACCCTCTTCGTCGGTGAACTCTACGAGATTTGAGAGCTCTTCTGTTGGATTCTCACGCATTTTTGCAAGTTCCTCGAATTCCACTGACATGGGAACACTTATTTCATTGGGATGTCGACGATAGAACTCTTTGATGGACTTCAGTCGTGTGTAGAATTCGGAAAATTCGTTGGGACCAGAGAGAGCTTGAACCTGTTAACCAACAATAAATCAATTGATTGACAATTAATAACCTAAGGAAATTGATAACCAATTGAATTGTAAATGAGTTGAGGTTAGATACGTGGGCAGCACAAATCCAATTGTTTTTTAATATCTGAATTATTTATAGACCTCTTCCTTTCGCTGTCCATCTTTATCCTCGTACAACTCCTGCAATTGTCCAGTACTATCCATATACTGATCCAACAGCATTTTCAACCGATGTTCTGAATTAATACTTTCACGATGCCCAGGTTTTTTGTGAAGCAATTCTTTCACCATTGCGTCCATCAATCTCTCCCTTTCTTCGTGATATCGACGCTGCTGTTCTAATATTGTCTCCATCTTCAATTATTATTTAATTGTTTATTGAATACTGGAGCAGGGTAAACACTCAACGGTAAACAGACGTCCGTTTCGTCTGTATGTGTGACGAAGACATTTTGTGACACGAAAGAAATCACTAGAGTGGAGGAATAAACTAGAATCAGTAAGGGTGCCGATTTTTTATTTATCTAATTCATCCCATTCTTTTCCAAGGGAAACAATTTTTTTTTAATTCTCAAGTTTAAGGGGAAAATCTATATTATTTTATTTAAATTATTTATAATTGAAATTTTATGCTTTGATGGTAACTGATGTTGAGGTTTGAGTGGTGCGAATGTGGCAGCACATTGTACTACATGAAAGTCGAATTCTCTGCCGCTAGTAATAATTCTTCTCTGGCTCGACATAACAATCACTCCAAAAGTGCGATAGAAAATCAAATCAAGTTATAGTGGTTATGTTAGTTAACTTTGTATTTCGGTTTTGTTATCGTTACAAAATGACAATATAATAAATTGAGATGAATCCAGTGATATTTCATGTGCGAGGTGTTATTTTTTAAACGATGGCCAATCACTACGAAGTACCAAGCTGGTTTGTTTTTCCAATTGTTGATGTGATTTTATGTTATTTGCTCGATTCACTCAAGCGATGCAATTAAAACTGACCGGTGAAATAATATTGATTTTGATGGGATTTCGTTTTACTATTTTGCGTTGGAAAATTAGATTTTCAAGTAATGGGGAATTTACAGGTCCAGTCACATTTTCTCAGAGCGTAATTCATCATCGTATGTTCTGGACGGTTCTATGACACATTGTGAAGAAATCGAGTTTATTTTTGACGTGAAAAATAATTCCGTATCTCATATTATTTTTATTACAATAAATTGATGCCGAATAATTATTTTTTGCAGGGCTGGGAAGCCTCCAGTAGGTCTACACCTCGACGTTTTGAAAGGCGACAAATTAATTCAAGTAAATGAGATATCTCAAAATTTGATAGATGAATTTTCTAGATTTATCCACTGGGAATTATTACAATTACAACATTATTTTTAGAAATTGATGGTAGACGAGAAGAAGTGTTACCTGTTTGGGCGTAATCAGCAGCTGAATGACTTCTGCATCGATCATGCCTCGTGTTCTCGAGTCCATGCAGCTTTAGTATATCATAAACACTTGAATCGAGCATTTCTCGTTGATTTAGGCAGCAGTGAGTCCGAAATCCCACGAAATGCTAAAATTTGACTGGAATTGATTAACAGGTTTATTTAATTACAGCTCATGGGACGTTCATTGGAAATATGCGACTCGAAGGACAGAAACCGACTCAATTACCAATCGACAGTACATTTCATTTTGGAGCATCAACGAGATATTACATCATTCGTGAAAGACCTCAGACAGGTACTAGAGGAATTATGGAGGAGCTCGAGAAATCTTCAGACGATAATGAGGCTGGTGGACTTCTTGGACTACCCGAAACCGAAACAGAGCTTGATAATTTAACTGAATTCAATACAGCTCACAATCGTCGCATATCAATGCTGGGAATAACTGACGATGATCCCCACAAATTGAATCGAAAAAGAAAAAAGAAGGGGATTACTTTCAACGAGGACGAGGAAGTTATCAACCCAGAAGATGTTGATCCTTCAGTTGGAAGATTCCGAAATTTAGTACAAACAACTATTATTCCCAGCAAGCGTATGAGATTGGAGGGAGGACTGATATCGTTTCACGATGAGCCTCATCATCGTCTTAAGTCCCTACAACCATCGTCAACTGTCTCCCAACTTTATCATGATCTTCCTCCAGAACAATATACCCCTTCAGCACCTAGCAACTCCTTCTCAACTGCTTTGACATCATTGACGTCTCGATTGGGCATTGCTCTGCCCAACCCAGCACCCGAGGTCGACATGGCTTCAAGTGAAGTACAGGCAGATGTTCATCCCATTACAGAGAGTCCTGTACCGAACGAACCTTTCTCACTCGAGCCCAAGAAGAAAAAATATGCCAAAGAAGCCTGGCCCGGAAAAAAACCCTTACCAACTCTATTGGTATAGGAATTAATTCATAATATTAAGTATACAAAGAACTCTCCGATGATTTCAGTAGTGGAGTGGTTGAAGGGTCTCAGAAATTTTTCATTGATATTAAAGTCCTTAGCGTGATAATTCCTCAGATAAATATGGAACCGAAAGTGCGATGATTATATATTTAAAAATGAAAAATGTTTCTGAAGTTGTTTCAGCAAACTTCAACTGAATTTTCGAGTGTAGGGATGAAAATAAATTTGAATTGATTATCAATAATTCTGGGGGCAAAAAATAATAAATTCCGACATTTTTTTATGAGATTTTTGGACAACAGCATTTTTTCATGACTATTGTATTTTTATCTGTTCCCACACAATGCGAAAGATATGAAGCCGACGAAAATTCTCTCCTTGATATAGACTGTTTATTTATTTTTTCTAATTTTTTCTAGATAAATATTAATTACGTCATGATTAATCCATCAGTTTTGGTAGCAACTGGTGGCAGAGTGAAATGATGAGATTTTTTTTTGCTTCGGACTGAAATATTTTCATTGGACTCGGTCCTGCATGTTTATACAGATCTTTGTAATTTTCCACCACACGTCGAATCACGATTTGTTTTTCAAAGCAAAAATCTATAAATTGTAAATAAAAAAATGACGTTCTGGGAGATAGTTTTAATAAAACTGTGAATCCATGGTCAATATACTTATCTATAGTTTTTTTTTAAATACAAAAATATAAGAATGCTTTGTTCCACTGTTGCATAAATACTGTTTTATAAATTAAGGCATCGTATTGGTAGCAACAGCAATTGGCCACGCCACAGGTCCTTTGAGAATCGTATCATCAAGTGTTTCTTTTATTCTGACAAAACGTCGTTTAAATTCTAAGCCACATCCTTTGGACAATCGAAAATCAACGAGAATTTTTCCATCCATCTCCACCATTATGGCTTTGAAGACTAATGGCATTTTTCTTCTATCAACCGTTGATGCTGTTACCTGAAAAAATAATTGTCAATTGATATTACAAATACTCTAACTCTGCAGTTTCACAAGAACGAAAATATTCTCACAATTCCCACGTCATTCGTTCGACAAGTGTAATTCTGCTCCTTGAGACTCTTAATGAGTCTTCTAACAGTTTCTTCGCAATCTGTTTTGACAAAGAACCTCGTCATCCGCCTTACGAGCCTCTGGAAAGTGTTTTGACTTGTTTGGGTCTGTACAGGCTGCGTCAACAGGAGAAGATCTCCCAATGCAGCTGGTTGCGAAAATGAGAAACCCGGACGCTCTTCGAGGTTCATGTAAAGCGGCTGGTTCTCCATATGTGGAAATTCAGGTTGGGAGAGACCGAACCTAGTGACACATTCCTCGTCATACCGCGCAGATTTTATTTCATTTCCGTCTGTGCAGTCTTCGCAGTTATCTAGAAAAGTATAGAATAAATTTGAAAACGAAAGAACTACATTATATAATAATGGTAACAATTTTTTTAATGTATATTTTTATCTGAATCAATAATCTAGAACACCTCAAACTCGCTCCAGTGGTTCATCTCCACTTTTCGAACAAAATAAATATAAATGATGCGTCCGTCACTGACGTTCTCACTTCGGTAGTCTAGCTTTATGAAATTAAGCTAATCATACAGCTAGATAACCAAAGATGGAACAGCAGGGAATATTTAATTACAATTCCAAAATAAATTCCTGAAGATATCGCTTTTGTTCGATTAATTCTTCGTTCCATCTTGCAACATTTTCGACGTGTTGATCTAGCTGAATTGTTCTTTGCTTTGGTAATCTAGCTTTATGAGATTCTATTATTAATCATAGAGCTGTATTACCAAAGAAAAGACAAGAGCTTTGTGTTGGCCCTGTCCTCTCTCACAGCACAATAAAAAGTACTGGAATAATTTCACAAGGTTGCTGAATGGCTGGAGTGAGATCAAAGCGGGGTACTAAGTTGCCCTGGGAAACTAAATTATTCTCAGAGTCACTCAGTACCTGTCTTCGAAGGCACTGAGGTTTGCAAATATTTTTCAGAGACATGAATTATTAATGTTTCAAATCGGAGAACGTAAAGACTCGTATTAGGTACGACAGATCCCATGTAGTATGCCTTGAAATTACGTCATTTTAGAAAAGCATAATAAAATCATGCAACCTTTTCACTTTTACCATTTCACAGATTGATGTATGGAAATCAGATATTAATTTTACCATTCCGAAGATTCTTCAGGTACCATCGGTGACTTTTAATATCTGAGATTTTTAATCTTGAGGACGGCGTGTGAATGAGAATTTTCCTGATAAGCCCTAGAGCTATTGTATCAAGTTTTTTCCAAGGCGTTAAATTCATGTATTTCGCTTCTCTCCATGCAGCATATTCTGGGCATTGTGGGTCTGCTTCATCCCAAGGCAATTCTAAACAACAAAAATCTTAACTTTATGCAAATCAATTTACATTGTTCCACTGATTGTAAATGGATTATTAATTTTCAGAGATATTTTTTAGGGCGAATTCAATATAAATTTTATTCCTGTGAATGGCGCAAAATTTCACTGCTATATATATATATATGTATGTATATATATACCCAAGGGGCCTTAGAGCGGATGTTTAAAATGGTGGCTCTGCCCCACTCAAAATTCATCACTAGTAAGTAACTGACAACAGCTTCAAAATGATTGAGTATTTCCCGGCGAATGTGTGAAGCTTCAAGTTTTATAGTTAAAAAAATGACAAAGGCATTGCATTAAAAAAAAATTATTCGTACCACCCGCTAATAATGCCACGAGAATAATTCCACAGGACCAGACATCAGCCGGTTGTGCGTGATACGGATGTGTCAACACCTCAGGGGCTACGTAAGGAAGAGTGCCACATCGTTTTTCCAAGAGTCTCTCTCTACCCTGGAGTCTGTAAATAGTCGCTAAGCCAAAGTCGGAAACTTTCAAGTTGTCCTTGTCATCCAAGAGAAGATTTTCTGGCTTGAGATCACGATGGGCTACTCCATGGTCGTGCAAATACTCCACAGCTGAAATCAATTGCTTGAAGTATCTCTGCGCTTCCCAGGATGGCATACCAATATCGGGTTCTGTCAAATTGATTCATTTCTGCATTTATTTTTCGAGTCCACTCCCTGTTCATGTGTTTTCAATAGTAATTTTTCAATCACTGCTTAAATAAAAAGGTGGAAATTACTATTATTTAAAAAACATTACCAATTCGATCAAAGAGTTCGCCTCCTGATGCGTATTCTAAAAAGATATACTCCATCGTAGCTTCACTTCTTTGTCCATAGTACCTAATAATATTTGGATTAGATAGCATTCGATGAACAGTTGCCTCTTTCTTAATATTGTGCTTGGCATCAGGATGTTTCTGCAGATCAATCATCTTCATAGCAACAGCCTCACCGGTCATCTTGTTTATCACGAGTTTAACTCTACCCCAAAAAAATCCAAAAATTTTCCAAATGAATAAATGAAAAATACAAGAAAGTCGTCTGATATAATTCTTTGAGAATCACAATTTGTTTTTTTTTTTGCTTACTCTCCGTAGGCACCTTCCCCCAAGGTATGTCCCAGAAACCAACCGTCCACGAACTCCGCCATTGTCCCTCTTCACCATGCCTCAACGTATCCTTGAAGAAGGAACAAAGAAATTAAAACCAATTAATTCAAAAACATAAAATTGCAATCCTCTGGTCATTAAAGCTCATGACATGCTTTCACTTTTTGATCCAACCAGAGAAATAACCAGATTCAACTTTTTTCATTGCTCCCCGATACTCAAACAAAGGATCGATACATCACGAGAGAAAAAAAATCCGTATGACAAACATTTCAGAAGAATTCCCACAATTTTTCTATTTTATTCTCACACGAGTGCATTTCATCACCTGCTCTTGTTAATGATCATTATTCCAAACTTACCTAGTGAAAAATATCTGAAAGAAGTTTAGAACACGTGGCTTTGGTTAGATAGACACTGAAAAATTTCGTTAGTTGCAGACTCGAGTATCGATCAATGATTTCCAATATTGTGTCGCAATTACAGAATATTTGTCGAGCAATTTATAATAGTGTAAATACAATATTTCAATTAACGGTATCGAGATAATCGGTATTTTATTTCATTTTAATTCGGAGCGGCGATGAAATCGATTGGAGAAAACGGTATAGTCGTTGCCGCTAACAACAAAGAAAGTGTAGACGTGAACTTTGACAGTGTTGGACCAAGGTTACTGATGCAAGCCATGGATTTACCAAAGAGGATTGACTGAAGTAGAGGCTCAGTTCTGGGGGTTTGAGTGATCCCAGCGGCATCGTAGTACTGCACTCCAAGAAAGGGAGGGCGTCACACGCAATGGGGGTATCTAAGGTATGATGGAAGGAGGTATTGCCAAGCTTTGATGACGCCGAAACCAAAACAGGGGACAAGTACCTTCAGACGTCGTACGTAGCGCTGTATAACGCCCTCTCCTCATGCGCGTTTCGTCCCCACCATTCAGCGATTTCTGGCGTTTACATTTGAATGCCCGTCGAGTCGTTTGATTTTTTTTCCTTCAAATTGACATGAAAAAAAAAGGTATGGCATAAAAATTGTCTACAAAAACATAAATGAACAATGGGTATATGATTATTTCAATAAGAGAGATTCTTACTGAGTATTGACTATTTTTTCATCAATCATGTAATTACAGTGAAACTCTTTCCACGTCACCCAAGGGGTAGAGTCCTTGACGCGTTTTTTTTAAAGTGGTATCCCCTTTAGGCCTAATCCACTAAGTCAATGAATGGGAAATTGTTATGATTGGAAAACCTGGAATAAAAAAAGAACCATGACATTTATTAATAATAAATAATAACGAATTAATAATAAATTCATCAATTTCTATGGATATTCTAGCTGCATTGTCGATGTTGAATCATCTCAGCAACACCGATTTGGAAGAAATATTGAACGATGATGGAAGAAAATCTTATCGGGAGATACAGAAGTCGATGAATTCCTGGATCAATTCTTGACCCGAAGAAAGACAATGCATTTACGAAAGGTGAAGGCAGACAAAATGCGAGAGGAAACCGAAATCGTCAACAGGGGAGAGGTTGAGGGGTTGAGAGGTTGAGGGAGAAGAGGTTACAGGAGATGAAGAAAGTACATCAGCAGAAACACGCGTGGTTAGCTGCTGTAAGGACCCCATCATAATTTTTTTCATTGATTTCTATAGATGGTGATATTCGTGGATGATCAATGAATTGCTTGGTTTTTTGCAGGGACACGGAGAGTACTCTGAAATTCCTGATGAGAAGAACTTCTTCGATATTTCGAAAAAATCGAAGAATATTGTCTGTTTATTTTACAACGATGGATCTCCAAGCTGTAAAATTGCAGATCATCACCTACAGATTCTTGCTAAAAAACATGTGGAGGCGAGGTTTTGTAAATTGGATGTCGAGAGGTGTCCATTTTTGACAGGTACGGCTCATATTCATATTTAATTGTATTACATTTCTGTAGCGAAGTCATGGACTTCGACTCAGATACGTGCATTTTTTGAAGGAACTAATTATTTGGTTCCAGAGCGTTTGAGGATTAAAATAATTCCCACGATAGCCCTCATCT